GTATACATCAATTCACATGTACATACACGGAGTCATAGTGATTTATTTCATGCCCTGTATAAAATTTCAAGTACAAAATATATTTAGACATTCACCCACTCTTACACTCACCCATACTCACACACACAATACACAAATGACAGTCGTTTGAATTAAAGAATATGAAAAGAAAAGAAAAATGTAGTTAAAGAGGAGGTATATTAGAGCTTGAGAGAAGCAGACAGATAAATAAATAAAAGGAGGCCCCGGATATTACTACTTACAGGTGTAAGTCTCCAAAGTAAAAATGAGATAAAGATAGAGGTGCTGCATAAAATGTATGCAGACCTATATCTGGTGTAAGTTTTAATATAAGGAAATCTATATCTGGTGTAATTATGTTATAATATTAGGAATCAATATCCGGTGTAAGTTTTAATATAAGGAAATCTATATCCGGTGTAAGTTATAATATTAGGAATCAATAGCCAGTGTAAGTTTTAATATAAGGAAAACAATATCTGGTTTCAATTTTAATACAAGGAAAATAGTTTCTAGTTTAAGTTTTAATATAAGGAAACTATATTCGGTGTAAGTTTTAATATAAGGAAATCTATATCTGGTGTAAGTTTTAATATAAGGAAATCTATATCTGGTGTAATTATGTTATAATATTAGGAATCAATATCCGGTGTAAGTTTTAATATAAGGAAATCTATATCCGGTGTAAGTTATAATATTAGGAATCAATAGCCAGTGTAAGTTTTAATATAAGGAAAACAATATCTGGTTTCAATTTTAATACAAGGAAAATAGTTTCTAGTTTAAGTTTTAATATAAGGAAACTATATTCGGTGTAAGTTTTAATATAAGGAAATCTATATCCGGTGTAAGTTATAATATTATGAATCAATATCCAGAAGTTATAATATTAGGAATTATTATCCGGTGTAAGTTTTAATATAATGAAACTATATTTGGTGTAAGTTTTAATATAAGAAAATCTTTATCCGGTGTAAGTAATAATATTAGGAATCAATATCCAGTGTAAGTTTTAATATAAGGAAAACAATATCTGGTTTCAGTATTAATACAAGGAAAATAGTTTCCATTTCAAGTTTTAGTACAAGGAAATCTATATCCGGTGTAAGTTATAATATTAGGAAATCTATATCCGGTGTAAGTTATAATATTATGAATCAATATCCAGAAGTTATAATATTAGGAATTATTATCCGGTGTAAGTTTTAATATAATGAAACTATATTTGGTGTAAGTTTTAATATAAGAAAATCTTTATCCGGTGTAAGTAATAATATTAGGAATCAATATCCAGTGTAAGTTTTAATATAAGGAAAACAATATCTGGTTTCAGTATTAATACAAGGAAAATAGTTTCCATTTCAAGTTTTAGTACAAGGAAATCTATATCCGGTGTAAGTTATAATATTAGGAAATCTATATCCGGTGTAAGTTATAATATTATGAATCAATATCCAGAAGTTATAATATTAGGAATTATTATCCGGTGTAAGTTTTAATATAATGAAACTATATTTGGTGTAAGTTTTAATATAAGAAAATCTTTATCCGGTGTAAGTAATAATATTAGGAATCAATATCCAGTGTAAGTTTTAATATAAGGAAAACAATATCTGGTTTCAGTTTTAGTACAAGGAAAATAGTTTCCAGTCTTAGTTTTAACATAAGGAACACGATATCTGGTTTAAGTTTTACAAAAGGAAACAATATCTGGCTTAAGTTTGATATAAGGAAACAATATCTGTTGTAAATTTTAATGTAAGGAAAACAATATCCAGTGGTAGTTTTAATATTAGGAAATAATATCTGGTGTAAGTTTAGTTTAAGGAAAACAATATCTGGGTTAAGTTTTCATATCAGGAAAACAGTTTCCGGTGTAAGTTATAATATTGGGAAACAACATCCGGTGGTAGTTTTAATATAAGGAAAACATTATCTGTTGTTGGGTCATAATTAGACCGAGTTTCATCTGGCCCTGACACCACACTTAGAACCTTTGACACCTATATATCTGTCAAAATGTCTAGTTCGGTATCGGGGCCAGAGGAAACTCAGGCTAGATTGAGAACATATGATAAAGACACTATAAAACGGCCTGCACTGAAACTTGTTGATCACCTGATTGCATAAGTAGGTCATAATGTTAGAACGTGACACATATGTGTCCGTATAGCTTGCGTTACATGTTCATGTTAAACGGTTATATTAGGACCGCGATAAACTTTGACTCGATATGGGGAAATGTAAGATACACATTGTTTATAAAATGTTGCGCGTGCATTTGACAGAAATTACGTTTTATCTGAAAGCATTAGACATTTCATTGGAACAAGCGAAATTCCATATAGATTAGAATGAACAGGAACAATTGAGCTTTTGTAAAAATATTGGCATTTATGAATTTTAGTTTACTAATTCATATTACAGTGGTATACAAGAGGTTCCAGATGACCTCAGGTATCGTACTATCTCCATTAGTTGTATGTAAGCTTAAGGTTGATCTTCTCTTTTCTCTTATTTACCTGTTTGATTGAGTCATACACTATACCGCTGCGTATGACATTACGGTCTTGGGAATAATTGATAACAAACTGGAACTGTTGAAATCCTGTTGACCATTTTTATACGACCGTCAAATTTGACGGTAGTAATATTATGGTATGGCGTTGTCCGACCGTCCGTCCGTCCGGCGTAAACTTTGTTTGTCCGGCAATCTCCTCCTACATTTTTCGACCGATCTATTTGAAACTTGGTATACATCATAATCAAGATATGAAGTTGAGTCTACCTTAAAAGAATTTTGATTCTACAATTTTTCCAAAAGTTATTGCCCTTTGTTCATTTCAGTATTTGATATTTGTCCGGAGATCTAGATCTCCTCCTACATTTTTCGACCGATCTCTTTGAAACTTGGAATACATTATAATCATGATATGAAGTGATTTCTCCCTTAAAATAATTTTGATTCAACGATTTTTGCAAAATTTATTGCCCTTTGTTCATTTCAGTATTTGATTTTTTGTCCGAAGATTTTCTCCTACATTTTTATAGCATATCAGCTAATACATTATAACCACTCTTAGAATGATGCAGATCTTATTTCAATGTTAGAAAGTATATAATGTACCCAGGTGAATTAAATATCACCTAGTTTAAGTATAATGATTTGTATTGTTTTATTTCTATTTTATTTCTATTTATTGTATATAGCAGCAGTCACTATGGACCACTGATTTATAATGTCTATAGTGGCCACAGGTATACTTCACCTGTAGCACCTGTAACTCCACTATAGTATATATATATATATATATATATATATATAATTACCTACATGGTTCTGTGTGAGTGTGCAAAGTCATGTGAGTGAGTTGTTTTTGTGTTGTTCCTGTACATGTACTGTCCATGTCTTGTCCACATGCATCTGTAAGTAATGTGCAACACTGACATGACCTTTGACTGGACGACCCGACATTCTATTGGTCGATACTTTTTTATTCCACCCAACTAGAAGAAAGAGACCTTTAGAGAAGACTAGTTGTGTTAGTCTAGCTCTTGTTTTTAATGGAAAAGAATTTCATTTAGAATGTAAAGGATCAGACTGCATATATTTTCATGGTATAGATTGGACTGATTCAATATAAAAAGGATCGGCACATGACCTTCTACCCATAGTTGGGGGTCAAAACCATCTATATCTGTCCATCATCCATACTAGCTGGTACCTGTTTGTGTGCAATATCTATACTATTTACTGTGATCGTCATGTCGGAGAGACAATAAATGCTCGAACCCGACCCGGTTGACTTTGTAATTATTCAAGGACCCAACCGGTTACAAAACACTATATGGCATTCGACGGGCGTATATTGTTCCGCCCCGCGGTACTCTTGTTGTTATTTTTATTAGCTTCAAAATGAAACATGCACAACTTAGGACCAATGAAAAATTGGGAAAAACATATGTCTCATATACTTCTAAAAAGTGCCTTAAACGCCTGAAAGTGATAAAACTCTTGAGCTGTCCGAATTCGAGTTGGCTATGTGGTGGCCATCTTGTTTTTCCAATTCTCAAAATGAAACATGCACTACCAAAGGACCAAAGGGAACCTAAGAATCAGCTTCCGGAAAGATCTTTTCGATACTGTCTGAGAAAGAGCGCTTACAAAAACATCTTATAATTAATCTTATTGTTCAGAACGGATGGTTTGGTTGGTTTGGTTTAGTATTGTCCTAATAACAGCTATGGTCATTTAAGGACGGCCTCCCCTGTGTGCAAGATGCATGCGGGTTGTGTATGCGTGTGTGTTTTGGGAGGCTGCGATATGTTCGGGTTTGTCTCCTTGTGATAGCGAGGAACTGATGCCGATTTTATAGTGCCACCTCACTGGAACATGCTGCCGAAGACACCCAGCAGGACACCCCAACCTGTCACATTATACTGACAACGGGCGAACCAGTCGTCCCACTCCTAAATTGCTGAGCGTTAAGCCGGAGTAGAAACTACCATTTTTACAGACTCTGGTATGTCTCAGCCAGGGGTCAGAACCCCAAGCCTTCCTCACAGGAGCACACGCACAACTAAAGGCCAAAAGTGAGGCATTGTCATCGGAGACATTAGGAAGAAGAAAGTTGTGAAGAAAGAAGAGAAAAGATAAGATCCCAAATTTAGTCGCCTCTTACGATCATGCAATGAGGGCAGCAGGTACAATTCTTACGCCCTACCTGCAGAGTCTAGGACGGATTTTTAGTTTTGTGTAAAACGATCGAAATTAGTCCTCGTAGCGAGACATCATATAATGGTATATAATTACAGTTAAGACATGGGTATTTGAATGATTGTGTTTCTAAGCAAGACATACTTAGGAAAAAATATTCATTATTATGTGTATTTTATATTATGTATATGTCTAATTGTCTTAAGTTGTTATTATAAATATAAAGTGTACACTTACAACACCATAACTTTATATTCAATAGGCCCAAAAAGATAAGGAAGACATTTCGCAGGGAGTCTTCTTATCAGCTGTTTACTTGACTATCTACAGACAATTTGACATCAACAAGCCAAAGTTAAGGCGCGTTTTAATGAGACAGGATGCATATACTTACTATTTCAGTTCTGACCATTGTGGTTGGTCAGATTTGTACAGATGGTGTACAAGATGAATATTCCAAAGATCAAGACCTGGAATCTCTGAAACTTCAGGTCCAACGACTGTCCGTTCTCAGTCAGGAAAATCAACAGAAAATCCAGCGTTTGGAAAGTTTATATATAAGTGAGCGTAATGAACGTCTAGCCTTGGAAAAATCCCTTGCTGAACTGCAGTATTCGCAAAACATGACTTCAGCAAGTCTATCCAGGGATATCAGATCAGGTAACTATTGCTGTTAGTCTAGTCATGGTTTTCAGGTAATGTACCTGCTGTCACATGGAACAAAAGAAAGAAATTACCTGTAACCTGTCTAGTCAGAGATATCAGAATAGGCTACTGTTGCCAACAGTCTAGTCAGTGATATCAGAACGGGTAACTATAGCCATCAGTTTAGTCAGGGATATCAGAACAGGTAACTATTACTACCAGTCTAGTCAGGGATATCAGAACAGGTAACTATAGCCACCAGTCCAGTCAGGGATATCAGAACAGGTAACTATAACAACCAGTCTAGTCAGAGATATCAAATCAGGTAACTATAACCACCAGTCTAGTCAGGTATATCAGAACAGGTAACTATAACCACCAGTCCAATCAGGGATATCAGAACAGGTAACTATAACTACCAGTCTAGTCAGGGATATCAGAACAGGTAACTATAACCATCAGTCTAGTCAGGGATATCAAAACAGTTAACTATAACCACCAGTCTAGTCAGGGATATCAGAACAGGTAACTCTAACAACCAGTCTAGTCAGGGATATCAGAACATGTAACTATAACCCCCAGTCTAGTCATGTATATCAGAACATGTAACTATAACCACCAGTCTAGTCGTGGATATCAGAACAGGTAACTATAACAAGCAGTCTAGTCAGGGATATCCGAACAGGTAACTATAACCACCAGTCCAATCAGGGATATCAGAGCAGGTAACTATAACTACCAGTCTACTCAGGGATATCAGAACAGGTAACCATAACAACCAGTCCAGTCAGGGATATCAGAACAGGTAATTATAACTACCAGTCTAGTCAGGGATATCATAACAGGTAACTATAAACATAAGTCTGGTCAGGGATATCAGAACAAGTAACTATAACGATCAGTCTAGTCAGGGATATCAGAACATGTAACTATAACCACCAGTCTAGTCAGGTATATCAGAACAGGTAACTGTAACCATCAGTCTAGTCAGGGATATCAAAACAGTTAACTATAACCACCAGTCTAGTCGTGGATATCAGAACAGGTAACTATAAACATAAGTCTGGTCAGGGATATCAGAACAAGTAACTATAACGATCAGTCTAGTCAGGGATATCAGAACAGTTAACTATAACCACCAGTCTAGGCGTGGATATCAGAACAGGTAACTATAGCCACCAGTCCAGTCAGGGATATCAGAACAGGTAACTCTAACAACCAGTCTAGTCAGGGATTAACAACCAGTTTTGTCAGGGATATCGGAACATGTAACTATAACCACCAGTCTAGTCAGGGGTATCAGAACAGGTAACTATAACCACAGGTCTAGTCAGGGATATCAGAACAGTTAACTATAACCACCAGTCTAGTCGTGGATATCAGAACAGGTAACTATAGCAACCAGTCTAGTCAGGGATATCAGAACAGGTTATTATGGACACCAGTTTTGTCAGGGATATCAGAACATGTAACTATAACCCCCAGTCTAGTCAGAGATATCAGAACAGGTAACTATAACTACCAGTCTAGTCAGGGATATCATAACAGGTAACTATAACCACCAGTCTAGACAGGGATATCAGAACAGGTAAATCTAACAACCAGTTTTGTCAGGGATATCAGAACATGTAACTATAACCACCAGTCTAGTCAGAGATATCAGAACAGGTAACTATAACCACAGGTCTAGTCAGGGATATCAGAACAGGTAACCATAACAACCAGTCCAGTCAGGGATATCAGAACAGGTAACTATAACCACCAGTCTAGTCAGGGATATCAGAACAGGTAACCATAACCACCAGTCCAGTCAGGGATATCAGAACAGGTAACTTTAACCACCAATCTAGTCAGGGATATCAGAACAGGTAACTATAACCACCAGTCTAGTCAGGGATATCAGAACAGGTAACTATAACCACCAGTCTAGTCAGNACAAAATTTGAAATTCTACCCGATGTTTCAGGATCTAGGAACAGGAATTTAATCTATATATATAGATATAACGACCATCTCAGTTACATCAAAGTAATGCAATGTGAAATATACGATATGAACTATTTTATAGCAATAAACGAATACTTTTTTAACGCCGACTAATCTAAATCATTTCTTTTGTGCTCTGACGGAAGCGCAGAGGGTTTAATTCTTAATGTGGTAGGGAACTGGAGTATCCGGTGAAAACCTACGTAGTCGTGCAGGTGACGGGGATCGAATCCCGGCCATCTTGGTTAAGACGAGCTCGCTATCCAGACTGCGCCACCCGACCCACCACTTAAGTTCCACAATATTTACTTTAGTTTTCACTGGAATAAAATGGTGTCATTGGTGCAAAAAATATATTGTGAATATATTTTACCAGTCATCTGTGATACAAAAAGTCTACACATGGGAGACCTGGGCAGGTTCAGTCACCCTTGATATCTTTGGTCTTGTGGTAAAATGTACATCTTTGAGGATCTTGGCAGTTTAGTTGTTTTGGCATTCACACACAAAAACCGGCAAAGAAATCAAACTAGGCCCGGATAGGTTCAGCCCATGATACCGTGCAAATCCGAGCCATGCAACACATCAACAGTCGTGAAATTGGCAGGATCATCTGACGTTGCATGCTTCATGACGTCATATTTAAGCTGATTCCAACGTGGGCCGAACTTACACGACTGCTTGTCCGCACTTACCACAAGGCGGGGCTCATTCGGCTATCTAATCTTCCGACAGGAAAAGTTCAATAATTCTTCTAATACAGACGTGTTTTCCAGAAACAAATGACATACTGCTCAGAACGACTTTAATGAAAATGGGCCGAACTTGTCCCAGTATCCCCTAATGTTTATGTCGGTACATTATAGAGCTTGTGTTTTATTGTTATTCCTGGACTTGCACACTTTAAAAATAATGTTCTTATCTTCGCTACGCTCTTTTTAGGCTTTGCCTTTTCATATTACTGATAACTGGTTAACCTGGAGATGTCTCTAGAATTACACACAATACATCTTTGACCTTGAAAGCTGACTTACAATATGTAGTTTATTTACATTCAGTATCAGTTGGCTTGCGACCTAAATACGCGGTCTGATAAAGCATATACGTTATGTGTATGGAGACGTAACACATGATAATCGGACTGAAGGACACAGAAAGGTATTTGTTTTTAGCAAGTTAATGAAACTTAATTTCTTCATTATTCACTTGATTCTTGAGCTTGAAACTAAGGAATTTGGGCACTATGTTGTGACTTGATTGATTTTAAGACCTTCTAATTAATGACATTCCTCTGCGATGTTGATGTCATCATGCAAGATAAAACTTGATTGACGATTATTTTTCTTTGAACAATTCTTTTTTTTTTCAAATGTGCAGGTTTTTCGTCGATCAAAGATTTCCACTTTCTACAGGCATCTTCTTTGCAACCTTTATATGTCATGTCGTAATCGAATGCTTACCGTTAGTCATTTGATTGGTTTCGGATGAAAAATAACCGGAAAATCTTGGAGCTGATGTCCGTTGCGTTATCTTTTTTGGCGGTGCATCAGGACTAATTGTTTATTTTTTAATCTGTTTTTGGCACAGGCTCAAAAAGTAACAGTGCGGATATCTTCTGAAAACTTTGTCATCAAACTGCATATGTTGATATCTCTACCGGGAGATACGTTCAAATAAGCCGGCATTATGACAATGGGTCTATTTGTATGTCTATTTTTTCACAGCTTAAATTTCATCAGCTTTTGAGTACAGATGTTTAACTTTAACTTGTTTGAATAATTACCATTTTTGGAGTCTTGTTATATTTTTTACATAATTTATTCATACATCACCAGTCATAAAAGAAACAAATACAAATGCATTCATGTCGAAATTAACAATGACTTTTCCAGACAATCAAAACGAGTTTTAACAGCCTTTTCAGCAACGTATTTCGTCTTCACACCGCGTGCCAATATATGACCAGTTATAGACAGAAATTGTTAAGTTTTATTTGGCATACTAATCTGTCACACCTTTCGGTGACTAACAAAATTTGAAATTCTACCCGATGTTTCAGGATCTAGGAACAGGAATTTAATCTATATATATAGATATAACGACCATCTCAGTTACATCAAAGTAATGCAATGTGAAATATACGATATGAACTATTTTATAGCAATAAACGAATACTTTTTTAACGCCGACTAATCTAAATCATTTCTTTTGTGCTCTGACGGAAGCGCAGAGGGTTTAATTCTTAATGTGGTAGGGAACTGGAGTATCCGGTGAAAACCTACGTAGTCGTGCAGGTGACGGGGATCGAATCCCGGCCATCTTGGTTAAGACGAGCTCGCTATCCAGACTGCGCCACCCGACCCACCACTTAAGTTCCACAATATTTACTTTAGTTTTCACTGGAATAAAATGGTGTCATTGGTGCAAAAAATATATTGTGAATATATTTTACCAGTCATCTGTGATACAAAAAGTCTACACATGGGAGACCTGGGCAGGTTCAGTCACCCTTGATATCTTTGGTCTTGTGGTAAAATGTACATCTTTGAGGATCTTGGCAGTTTAGTTGTTTTGGCATTCACACACAAAAACCGGCAAAGAAATCAAACTAGGCCCGGATAGGTTCAGCCCATGATACCGTGCAAATCCGAGCCATGCAACACATCAACAGTCGTGAAATTGGCAGGATCATCTGACGTTGCATGCTTCATGACGTCATATTTAAGCTGATTCCAACGTGGGCCGAACTTACACGACTGCTTGTCCGCACTTACCACAAGGCGGGGCTCATTCGGCTATCTAATCTTCCGACAGGAAAAGTTCAATAATTCTTCTAATACAGACGTGTTTTCCAGAAACAAATGACATACTGCTCAGAACGACTTTAATGAAAATGGGCCGAACTTGTCCCAGTATCCCCTAATGTTTATGTCGGTACATTATAGAGCTTGTGTTTTATTGTTATTCCTGGACTTGCACACTTTAAAAATA